GACTTCTCTCAAGCAACAACTTGTCCCAACAGTAGAGTTGTCTATTGATTTGAGGCATGGACAGTCAAGTTGTCCCACCGATCAAGTTGTCTCTGAGGTTGAGTTGTACCAATCAAGTTGGCAAATGGTCGAGTTGTCTCAGCCCCATTTGAACCTGCGGTCATACCGGTAAGGCAGCATTCAACATGGCTGCCACCCATGTATATTCATTTCCATGCCTTTGTGCACCACGTTGTTGAGAGTTTGAGCATGCGCACTCAATTAACATACAAATAAAGTTCACAGAGTCAACCTGATAACCAAAAATTGATTAGACAACATTAGACCACCTTCTCATTAGACCTAGTTGCACAAAATTTGACACGAATTCTGAAAACGTGATTTAAAAAAAAAAAACACAACCACATTTGAAAGAAAATACATCCACGATCACTCCCATCTTAAAACCATTTCTCCAGTTTATCAAAACTGACGAAATAAAGTGCTGTGTGTAGTAAGACCTGATCAAAATATTTGTAGTATTTTCAAGTTATTCCAAAACGAATATTTTGTATGAGAGTCATTTATCCATAGTAGTGCATATACCTGTGCATTGATGGAGTACATGTACGTGAAAATTGTGCATACATAAATTATGGCCGACCATCACTCGACAGCAGAGGTGGCAGCAAATCATTTTTTGCAATTCCAAGTCAAGTCACAAGTCATTATGTGCAAGTCCAACTCAAGTCACGAGTCATTAGGTCCAGTCACAAGTCAAGTCACAGGGCAAGTCAAGTCACACGTCATTTGATCTAAACACAAGACAAGCCGCAAGTCTCTTTGTCCAAGTACAAGTCAAGCTGCACATTATTTAGTCCAGCTGTTATAAGCAAACAGAACCAGGCGTCAACTTATTCAGTTATGAGTTATGGGTTTCAGACAGCTGAACACCTTTCTCCAATTATTTGACAATTCCCTTTTCACTTGTATTGTAATTACTATTATTGCAGTTTATCACATACGTGCCATATATTGGACCTCTGTTTAATCTAATAAATGTACTTTGAAGATGAAATGATGACATACTGAGGGCACTGTTTATCCTAGTCATGCGTCAACGCAAAGCATAGCAGCATATGCATGCTGCCCTGATCAATAGCTGCAGCTGGGTGAAGCAGAAGCTGCCCAAGCCGAAGTCCAACTAAGGCATTAACTGAACAGCTTAATTAAATATATATGGCGCTGGTCGAGTAGCGTCTGACTTGGGTTGGTAACAAGTCATTTTTGGCAAGTCAAGTCACAAGTCAAAGCTGGTATTTACAAGTAAAGTAACAAGTCACCAACATAGCGACTCGAGTCTGACTCAAGTCCGAGTCACATGACTTGAGTCAGCAACTCCAATCGACAGAGAGCAAAACTGAAATTGATAAAACTAATGAAGAGCAATTCGCAATAGCTTAAACATGTACATGTAACACAGTATATTTTTCAAATGCTCTTTCAATTACATGTACCTAACAGTGTTCTAGTAGAGCCAATAATTTTCTGCGATAGCAGAAAACGGACGGAATTTGCAGAATCAACACTTTGAAACGGAATCCACTGCTTGAAAAGGAATTTTGTCGCACTACTGCCAAATAAAATGGTGGGTCGATGTCCAACATTAACATATTGTGATCAAAGACTGTTACATGCAAGACCTACTCTGTGACTTCACTGTACATGTATGATTACACGTAATCTGATTTCATACACATGGAGTGGCACATTTATTATCCATTGATTTTGGACAAAGTTTTTGGACAACAGTTTTTGGTGATCACACCCCGGCCGGAAATCTGCATTTATTTTTTTAATTTTCATTACACTGGAACATTGCAAAGTATTTCCAAACACTACAGTTATTTTTCTTTTTTTTCTCCTTTTCTGGGAGGCGATGTGGTTCGGCAAATGGTTTCCGTGCATAGTTTAAAACTTGCTCTTGTATTTCATGCTTACGAAGGTATGAAACAGAATTTGAATTTCTGAAGCTAAATTTGGGATTTGGCGAATCGGAAAATACCCATTTTGAAACGGAAAATCACTGGCTCTATTCTAGCCACAGTGGGCAGCGCCAGGCGGCACTACCCAGTACTGTAAATTTCCGCCCGGCTCTCATGTTCAAATTGGTTTAAATCAAAAAATAACTGAAATATTACTGAAAATGCAGAGATGCCAACTTGTATAATTAGGTGTAATTTATACGATTTCTTGAGTTTGTTTACAACTGTACGATCCAGACTAAGATTTTTTTTATTTCCAACTCGAAGATACATGTACAAAACCATACAGTTGAGTAAACTCTAAGTATATGTAAGCTACCGGTTGCACGGAGCGGGCCTCGTATGCGCACGTTAGAAGTGTGTCTCTGGCATCCCTCACTGCGTGAGTAGCGATAAAAACCAGTGTGGTTGAATCATCTGTTTGCCCCGATTAACGCTATGATGAACGGGGGTGAATAGGCACGATCGCAACGTGATTGTGTACCTGTATATGGTATATGTACTGATTTCGTACACACATGTGTTGGTCATCAAGATCGTGCTAAAGATGACGGGAGTGGAGGACTGTCGAGGATTTGATTCTTGGATGTTTGGTGAGCAAATTGACTTGCTTTTCACTGTGGCAACAAGTGAGCAGAAGTTCAGGGATGAATACAAATTGGCCTTTATTGCAAAGTCTTGTCGAGAAATTTATGTGTTTTGCAATGCATGTAACTGTGGCATGATAAACATTGCCCACGCTGGATCTTACGACACCGAGAAGCACATTAGTTTGGCCAAGAAAAACAAAAGCGCTGCTTCCGATTAAATAGGGTTGTAGGTAAGGATTTTTTGACAATTTTTTCGTGCTGATTGAATGGGACGAAAGATGCCAAAAATTGCCCCAAATGTGATTACAATAAAAACTTACCAGAATTAAAGTGGAAATATAATCAACAATGGAGTAAATTCACACTTGCATAATGCTAGTCAGGTAAATACAAGTGTTTTGATGTGACAAGTAGTTGTTGACAGGAGTTTGTTTTGAAAGAAAAGATGACAGGATTTTTTTTACTTTTTTTTCTAATTTGCCGATGAAAATCCATTGGGCTGCGTGGAAAATTTAAGGTTGGTCGGGAAACCAGAAAAGGAAAAGCAATAGGATTACACTTTTTCATTTTGAAAATGTGGAATCTCTAATTAAATGTACCAATTCGATCGTATCTCAAGCATCAGAAAGTGTTGAGAACTGCACTCACTACGCTTCGTAATCCAAAAATTTACCCAGGACTAAAATGGTCCTAGCTAGAATTCTATTACCAAGATATGCATGTGTGGAAAAAATGGAGAACAATTCAAAATTTCAATTTCAAAATATCATGTTTTTATATTCAGAAATATAATGTTCACCCCATTTTCTCAGAAATGTCACTTAAGAAACACATCAAAAAATGAAATCTGAAGCCTGATTGTATTTCTCTGGTATAAATTCAGCAAACTTTTACACAATGTGGAAGATCTCCTCAGAGGGATTTCGGTGTAGCTGTTTGCTGGCTGGCATCGCCATTTTAACAAGCAACAGAAGGCTTTGCCATATTTTAGCACATGCTCATAAACTACACGTAAGTGGAACCGGTGAACATACATGTACGTGCACCATGCATGCACTACAATACTGAATGAACAAAAATAAAAAAATTTTAAAATCAAAAATGGGGTAGGGTGGGTGGGTCAAAACATGTTTTTTAAAAATCAGAATTCGAATGGACCCTAAGGCCAAAAGAATATATACTTCTGCTTCCGGTTTCCCGACCAACCCTAAGTTTTAGGTGTGACCCTAAGTTTTTTATCAGCAAGTTAAAAAATTTATTTTAAAAACACAATTTTTTTTTCAATACAAAGATGAATCCATTTGTCTTTTCTGTCTTTACACATCATCTCTGAACAACCTTTTTTCGTGTTAAAACATTTTTATTTAAATGTTTTCCAGCTTACATTTGCATTTTTTTAACAGAAAGAGTTCCCTTTGCATTTTGCTGTCGCAGTGGTGAAAACATGCAGACAAAGCTCAGTGCATTAAAGATACACGTATGCTGCGTTGGTTTCCGCCTCGCCCTGCCCATGCAAAGAACGCGGAATGGAAATGTGGCAAAAAATGTACACTAATGATGTCGTTACACTATACTCCAGCCGTACATGCATGTAACTCTAAAGCTGTTATGTTGAAAACATTGATGTCGCAAGAAGATTTCTGTAAGTTAATTCACGGCACTTACTCTGTTGTCTTTGAGTGTATTTTGGATGTTCACAAGTTAAATTTGAGGTTGTTTTACTCGTACATACTTGAAGCTAGCATGCTTCCCAAAAATTTCCTGTTGCCCACCCATCTGGATGCATCCTGGACACTCATCATGCGATACACGGACATTGTTGGCCAGTTTGCCATTGTGATTACCAGACCAGCATTGTACATAGTGGTGTAAATTGTCCATAATTGTCGACTGTAGAAATTTCAACATACGTGTAGATTATTAGGCAAGTTGATTTATCCCATTTGAGGCAATTTTTAGTAGCTTTTGTCCCCAGTTATGCCATTCAATCAGTACAAAAAAAATGAAAAAAAAAATAAATTCCAACCTACCGACCCTAATTTGGAGAGGCATGTCATTGGAAGCACAACTTGAGGAGGGCGGGCTAAGTAAAAATTTTGTTGGAAGTAACTGATTTTTTGGGCCTTGTATTTCAATAGTTCATCAATTTAAAGCATCATTTGCTAACAAGTTTGTGGGCTATTTAATCATACTGTGCACCTATAACAACTAAAACGCCGTTTAAGTAATGGACTGTAAACATGCATGAGCGTATACTTGTAAGACAGTTTAATACAGAGTTGCAGTTGGCTGTGATCAATGCACCAATGAGTAGCATTTGGGTGTCAAACCATAAATGCTAACTTTTGAATGAAAATATACAATATAAAAATGAGCAAAATCTTACAGGATCAACTGGTGTTGGTGTTGGTTTCTCTGATGCATTCAAATGTCTATCCTCATTCTCCTCATCATTTTCCTCCTGCACTTGTACAGAGTTACTTATGTCCCCATTGGGAACAGTTTCTCCATTGCGACATGTTCCATTCAGAAGACCTGCCACATAAAATTGTAGAATTAAGTTATAATTAAATGTACAACATACCATGTAAATTTCTGCAAAAATAAATGATTCAAAATACCACAGTAAGTTTTTTAGTAATCTTTATGGCTGTATAAAATCTTCCACAACTTTTGATAACAAATGTTTAGAAATCAAACAAAGCATTTTCATGTTATGGTACACGGCAACTGGGGGCCAAAGGTCATCCAAAAACTGAATTTTTCCATATGCATATGTACATGTATGAATGGATCTGTTAAGCAAACTTGTTGAAATGTTGAAATCCGTTCTTTCTTCTGTCAAGCTGTTTTTCCCTTCTCGTTTTGAATTTCATATCCACTGCTGATGTTGAAACAATAAAATTCATGCAAATTTTTTTTAATGCAGAATGACAAACAAATGCATAATCTTACGCTATGCAAATTTAACCAAGAATATTGAACAAAATAATTACATCTTACATGATAATCCATGTCTGTGATTCACAGTAAGTCAATTGGGTAGGCCTGCTTTTTCTTTAGAATTTTGCAAAAAGAGTCGCAGCAGAGAGAAAGGAGTTGTGTACAACCAGCGAGCATTTATTTGCTTAAGTCAGTCTGACAAGCATGGTCTAACAAAGGTCAACCTATGTGTTAAGTCAGTCTGACAAGTATGGTCTAACAAAGGTCAACCTATGTGTACATAACATGCTTGCAAATGCAATTAACAATTACACACAAAAACCAGTTTAGTGACCGTCACACTATGCAATGCAATTTTTCTCAATTTGCTTTAGTTAGATATCATCTTTCTGTAATGCTTGCAACAAGGTTGAATCAATAATGATAACTGCTGCACGTGTATTTATCCACAAACGGATCAACAAGAATATAAGAGCCCCTGGAGGAGAGAATGGCTCTGACCCAAACCACAAAGCATGAATGTTGGCATGAGCCAGCACCCCCCGGTGATAGATCGCTCGTTCATTTGTGCCGACCCCACCCCCTCAAGATGAGCAATTCCACCTCTCCTCCCAGGGCCTGGGCCATCCAACCCACAAATTCAATGTAATCATCTTTCAGAATAGATCGAATGGCACCAGATCTACAGCTTGGTTTTAACAAATTAACATTGGAGCCATCTATATTTCTACCTTGTCACATTTGTTCGTTGGTTCTCGTTGTGCTAGTTTCTTAAGTATCGTCTCACGCCCTTGACCCCCTTGTGCATACAATTGTTCCTGAACTCAAGACCAGCTAAGACAACAACAGTTGCACCCAAGAGTGGCACTCATGCCATAACACTTAGCGGACCATTTTTGGTCACCAAGAGACACCGTAAATTAGGTAATTCCTTATATTCACTATAAGTTAACAATGACTTCCGAAGAGCGGCACTATTGCCATAGCATTTAGTATACCAGTTCCGTTACCAATTGACACATTTAAGCTAGGTACATAACTACATCTACTACAAGTTAACAATGACATCCATGATCTTACATATTTTAAGTAAGTGCCTTTGTGGCTACCCAATCGTCTTCTGGGACACCAATTTGTGCCCACGGAGACAATGTGAATTAAGTTGTGTCATTCCCCTCCCTTTCGGTCCAAGGACTGTGCTGTCCTGCAGGCCTATTGTACGTAAGATACTCAAATCAATGAAACTACATGTGTGTTGCTGGACTCGATATCTGCCGCTTGGAGTGCAGCTGCAAAGTCTTGAATGAAAATATCGAACCCCTCATTAGATAGATGAATCCCATCTTTATGGAATAGCCAGGGGCATGATATTATTATCTGTGGGTGGAATATCAATGATGTGTTTTTCAGTTTGTTCAACCGACGTCTAGCGTAGAAATTCAAAGATTTGCTAACCCAATCCAGAGCTTTCTGTGATGAGCTTTCCTTCTACCAGCTGCAGTACACCATTCTGGGTAGAATACAGGACCAATTTACGTGGCAGTTAAGCAGCCAGTGCCGAATTATGGATATGCCAGCAACTATTGCATCACGGCTGCATTTTGCTTCGAATCATCCCACGTCATTCGACCCCAAATGTACAATCAGCAATGATGGAGGTAGGTGTGCCTACAGCAGCCTCTTCAAGTCTTTTGGCAAGTCATGGAACAGTCTTCCCCCCCCCCACCAAACCAGTGGACCTCTACACTGGTGGTGCCTAGAGTAGCCGAATGTGTAGCCATGGCTCGGTCTTTAGCTCAAAGAATAAGACTGTCGCCGACCACCCACACTCTGTATGACCTGTAAGCCCGATGAGAATAACAGATTGTGAGGCACATAGCCCACTTGGTAGACAATACACTTAATCACATTAAAGCTACAGTATAAACATCTGTGCTACATGTATCTCTGGGTGAAGATCTCCCATGGGGTTTCGCATGGGCCATTTTTGTACGGGAAACCCCCGCCGATTGATCAGTGACTTCGCTGCTTATCCTGGGGGATGTTACATCCTAATGTACATGTGAAAAATGTCATTTTGCCATTTGCCCATTCATTTTATTTGTGCAGCAGATGCGGCGTTTAAAGCCGCTGTGGTTGCAGCACCAGTGAAGTCCAACATATCCCAAGGCCTTGTGTCACATTGCTCTAAACGGGTATTGTGTGAGGGGGGTGCCGTCAACTTGAATAAACAGAGGGTCCCTGATTGCAGGCTGTAGACCCAGATACCCTATCATTGCTTGCAGCGGGCACAAGTCAACAGTGCCCACTTCTATTCGTAGGGTGACAGCCCACCCCTGCTGATCGGTTTTTGAGAATGGAATCCGAACTAATAGAACCTGCCCCAATCCCTACTGGATATCTGTAATGGCCAGCACCCGTCCAGAGGGACCTCCTCTCATGGGGATCGTGAACTCCCCAACTTGCAAGAGGCCAGAGTACGCGAGCAGGAACGTGGCCTAAAACAAGACACATTCAAAGGGGGCTGTACATACAGTCCGTAATGCCGGAACAATTTGACGTAACATATCCCACGTGATGGGGCACCTAGTGTCTTGGCGCCCCATTCTGTCTCCTATGGCCCTCTTTTATCTTTTATATTAGAAAGTGATGGGTAGCGTCCTCCCAGCTATGATTATTGTGCAAAAGAGACAGCGCTGCCACGTGCAATGCAATTATTGATGAGGCTTAGAATCCTTTAATAGACAGTGCTGCGATAAAGGACAGAACGTGGCACTTCGTGGTCGGCCATGAGGTGTCATAGCTTACACCACTGCGGAAGTCTTGAAATGTATCTATGGCCCGTTGGTAGGCATCTACCAACCTTGGGCCTGGTGCTAAAGAAAAAGAAAGCAGCCTGTGAGCCTCATGGGCTAGATCTTCCAGAGGGAATCTGGCGACAGTGCTGTTCTTGCTCTACGCATGAAATCATTTTCATGCCTAGCGTGAATCTGAAAGTGAATTCTTAGCATAAATTCTCCCATCCCAATTCACAGTGTTAGCTTTCAGTTTCAACATACTGCATATCGCAAGCACACTTATTCATACTTCAAAACTTACATGTACCCACCTGATGGTTGTAGCTTTACAATTTTCCCAACTAGATTTGGACGCCAAAGAAATCTGACAAACTATTCAAAATTTTATGCAGAGCACATTTCCAATTATTTTGTCGATATTTATGTGTTTGCTTTTGTACGTCGTTACATCGGGACTGAAGTACTAAAAAATATATCAGAAATTTTTGTCAAGGAGTCCATGCAGCCCTATTAAGCATCATGATATGCTTAAGTTGTAGCCTGCAGTTCATTATTTAGAATTGAAAAGATGGTGAATATAATTTTGTATAATTAATTGTGATGTAGAGATGTTAAGTGTCAGTTTTTAATCCTTTGATGACATTACAAATTTATGTGAACAATAACCATCCACACAGCTACAAGCTTGTAATGTCACATGGTTCTTTGCAGTTACTGTTGCTAAGCAAACGTCCGAGAATTTGGCAATTCTTCATGCCCACGTAATCGCAATGGGCGCTCCTGTCATACAGTTGGTTTATCATCGAACTACTACATAACAGGGACAGGGCACAAATTCATCTTCTTGATCTTGCATTACATTGCCGTCCAGTTTCCAGGCTTCTTGCCTGGCAGTGAGCCATTTGTCTGGCCTGTCGATGGCTGTTAACAGAACAAGCTGAGGACCCGATGAACACCTGCTGAAACCCTTAAAATTGCAATGTGTTTCCCAAAACAAAAAGGGGTTTTTGTGAATATTAAAAAAAATATGGACATTGTGAACATTCAGAAGTTAAATTTCAAAACTTCAAACTTTTTGTCAATCGATACTTCTCATAAATGTAGGTGTACATGTACAGGTGCAGTGTCTTTTTTCTCTTTCACACAAGTTTATTGAGAGTAAAGCTTCATGTGTACGGCACAACACACAATATGTGCACATACATGTATCTGTATATATTCATAATTACCTGATGATTCCAGTCCCTCAATATTCTTTCTGGATTCAGAACTACCTGTACCACACTCTGCCTGACTTTCTTGCAAAGAATGAGGCGAGGTGATGCCATTCAAACGAGGATGTTCTTTCTCAGTCATTATGCCTTCAGAATATGTAGCAAATGGGCAGCACAATCACTCACAATTCATTTCTGGGAAAGAGTAGAAAGAAATATTTTTTTGGTGCAAATGTTTAGAATTTTACATTCCGTGGTTCAAAATTTACATATATTAAATCAGAGCTACAAATCACAGAAGGAAAATGAAACAATCTGCAATGAATTACAGTAAAAGGAAAACCCTGCCACTTCTAGTGGGGAAAAAAATATAATGAACCATGTAGGTTAGCAGTCCTGCACTATAATCACTGGAACATGCACAAACTTCATCCAATGCACAGTATGGACATACATGTATAGTATGTGATTACACTAGTCTACTCTGGTAGACAGAAAAACAAGGGCCCACCTAAAGATCCCTGAGGGACTCCATGTTTAAGCTTAACATGGTCAGAACTGGTATCATTGATATTAATCAGTCTAGGACGATCACTCGAGTATGACCTCTTGCAGTGCATAGCTGCATGTACATGTAGGGCCTTTACAAAGTATTCATCACTGTGTCATAAATGACTGTGTCGAATGCCGAGTGCAAATCTAATAACACTATGCAGTTTGAAATTACATACATGTACCAGTCTACCTGTTTGGCAGCAACTGCAACCATTTCTCAGATTCAGATGTGATGCGCAGTTGGAGCATGTATAGGCTTGTTAACTGTACGGCGTACGCAATGTTAGATTTCCCCTGTACAGCACTGCTGAGTTTCAACACAATATCAACCAAATGCTATGCACTTTCTAAAATAAATCGCACACTATTTGATGCTAAAATGTACAGGGTTCTCCATCTCCATGGTGCCATACTGGCTTGAAACAATTCGATTTACGCATGCAGCTTGGCAAAGTGTCCTTTGAAATATGTGTATGCAGAAATCTAGCTGGTAAACATGGAGTTAACAGGCTTAACAGGTTAACAGGTTAACAGGGAGGCTGCAACTGATCTTTGATAAGTGCAGGTTAATGGACCTGGTTTGGTAACTGTTTATAATCTCTTTTCTGCTTAAACGCTCCATCACTTGCGCTATCAACCTCCGGATATGATTATTCATCTGAGGTTTACAAATCTGTTCACAATCTGCAACAGTCTGCATTCTTCTCAGTAAACCTCACACTTATCGAAGGAAATTTCCTGAAGTACAATATATTACAAGGACTGATAGCTGTGTGCCCTTTCAGTAAGTGTTGGCAGCATTTCGTGTGTGTGTGTTTTTTTGGTTTTTTTTCTAAATTCAAGAACAAATGTCGCTGACTTGAAACTCCTTGGATACAGAACTCCTTCATCATACACTGGGTACTCCCCATTATCGCTTTACATCGGCAAGTAGAAACCCAAAATATTAAACTTACAGACTTCAAAACAGTCTCCTGAAATCTACATGAAGCTTGTCCCTTTTCACAGCCCTGTTACATACCGGCATGTGCATGTCCATGTATTCTTTTTTACATCACACACATCTGCCTCTTCAGCTTTGACTATCAGCTCCTCATCAAAGGAATTCTTAATTCTGTTTAGTAAACAATAAACCATAAACAAAGGCTTGCCTGCCAGGAATTCTGCATGGCTCAGCAGGTTGTTGGGCAAGGAGGATTGAAACCCCCTAATAAATAATTGCCAAACTAGCCTTTTGTTAGCAATCAAAGTCTAATAAAAGGGGTACCATGGCCGCATGGCCTTGGCAATGACCAGTCTTCCAAAGGGTTTGCCATGCTCCATAAGATTACAAAGTAATATGATCACTTCAGGCCATTACTGTTTAATAAAAGTTACATATTACAAAAGTACTCAGCCGAGTACTTATCAAGTACTTTCTTACTTAAGATTTAAAATGTTAGAAAACTGAGAGTATCTAAAGTCCTCAATTTATTTTGCAATCTTACCTACATGCACTTGTCTATGTTTATTAGCTCTGTTCCCTTCTAACCAGTTAAGTATTTGGCAGAGAACCTTGGTACCTGAAAAGTACTCAACTACAAACTCATATATTGCGCAGTACTGAAGCATGCGTGATGCATTCTTGGGGCCCGGGGCGGCAGTTGAACCTCATGTTGCAGTAAGAAATTTTTGTGGAAACACACCCGCTTCAAGTACAAGTAGTACAACCTCAAATATTTAAAGCGTTCATTCACATCGAACTATCTTATTGCGTTGTGTAAGTAACAAACACCATATTGGCCGTTGTGCCCTGCAAATTTGCTGTAGTCTGAATTTGTGAAGTGTCAAGGTCAAATGACCCTGCCTTCTCAAAAAGGTAAGATGGAGGCCTTCAAAGGGCGTCAAATTTTTACAAACATTTAAATTTATCCTATTCATGTCAAACTTCACTCTTCAAATAAGAGTCCTGCACAGGTGCGACTGAAACAGCCATGATCATTCTGTGGTTTTTTTCATGACGGTGAAACTTTTACCTTGCTACATACAGGTACATGTGGGTGCACATGTACATGTACACAGCATTTCCACAAATTCTATCGGCCAACATATAGAAGACATACTGTACATATAGAAAACATATACATGTATGTAGGCCTAGTTGTGCTTCTGGTTTCCCAACCAATCCTAATTTTTCAGCGCAACCCTAACGTTTTCAGTGGCAAATTAGAAAAACAAATTTCAATGTCTTTTCTGTTTTTTTATTGACACCGTAGAACAGAACCAAGCATTTAAAAAAAGGAACTAAAAACCGCACAATCTCCGCTTCGTCCAGTGTCGTCTCTATTATTTAATTCTTGCGTCTGAACAGTTAGCCTGCGGGAGTTTCCCCAAATTTTGGGTAGCAACCGATGAAAATAACTGCAACAAACGCGCGTGTATGGTCTGATCAAAGAAATAATAGTGTAATCTGATTCTCTGACTGGCCTGTGCATGCGTACAATTTGCGTAGGTAAGCCTATCAGTATCACCATGGTTATTGTTGTTGACGATAAATACAACACAAGCAACCCACTGTCAAATATAGACCATGTTCATAACATTTGCCTTAAGTTGTTAGAATCGGAACCTCTGACATGTCTGACTTGGCCGGGTACTCAAACTGTCAATGTTTTTATTTGTTGCATACGCTTCTACTGGTGTTAACAACATGGTTAAAACTAAAACTTAAAAGAAAAGAATGAACAATAATCAGAGGGGCGTGTGAAAATGGGTCAATGTGGAAATGGGGCAAAGTGGGAATGGGGGAAGTGATTCTAGAGAGGCCTAGAGAGTGGTAAAGTGGAAACGAGGCGAAGTGACCGATATCCGGGCCTAGGCTACTACTAACTAAGTTTATCGCCAAGAGTTGTTCGCAGGTACAGTCTTTGTCTTAATTCAGCCCCCTGAGCCCGTACACACTGTCACTAGGGCCGAGGCCTATGTCGCAATGCAATGTAACGTTAGGCCTAGGTCCCGCAATGTGAAGGACGACGTGGGCCTTCTCCCTAATTTATAACTTGTCCAAAGAACTCTTTCCACATACGCTATTAAATTATGTCAAAATGTACCTGTACTCAAGCTTTACTTTAGTCGACAATGACAGATGAATAATGTTACTAAGTCCAGAACTCGGTTCCAAACCACATCTTCTCACACCTACCTGGCCTGTGTTATGAGTACTACATGTAACTTGTATGTACATGTACATACGTAAAAAATATACGTACGTCACATAGGCCTAGAGCGTCCAGATAGATCAGACATGTCAGACAGTCAGGTGCAGTACAGTGACCACGTCGCCCCACAAAATGCTTTCAGTGCTCACACTACGCAACCATATTGCGCTACGTTCCAGCCTCGATTTGGAAAGGGGCGAATGTTCCGAGATAAAAAGATGTTTGCGTCCAAGTTTCCATGGCGACAACAGTTGAAGTAGTTCGGCGGGCAGAACCAAAGATTGTATAGCGGCGCTATACAATCTTTGGGCAGAACTGCCACTGAAGCAAAGACGGGAGCAATCTGCCGTGCTCGAATCTCCGGCGGCATAAAGACATGATAGAGATCATGGGGGGGCGGCACCACCGTAAGTAGGTCAAAGATATGTCCGCTGAGCTAATTAGTTACGGTATTCTATATCCGAGAGTCGTAAGAGCCATACTCCAGGAAATAGATCGGTTTAATCAGAATTTGGGGGGAAACGTTTTAATAGCCTATCTTATATAAACATAAAGTGGCGCTGATTTCAAAAAAGCACTCTTATTGACCCCACGTACGACATGTTTGAGATATTTGCTAATTTTTTCCCCAAAGTACCACTTTTTACCAGATTTGATAAAAAAATTCAGAATTGTAAATTTAAATGTTGCAACAGTCTTATCTTAAATAAAAGTTATGATGATTCCAAAAAAAGGCAGTTCCATTGACTCCACTCCCATCATTTTTGAGATAGTTGCCATTTTTGTCCAAAAGTGTCATTTTTAAACTAAATTTGATGAAAAAAATTAAGAACAATGAATTCAAACATTGTCACAATCCTATCAACTTTCATCCTACAGATCATGGCTGGAAGAAAGTTGATGGACTCTATGTACCACGTTGATTTTCTGGCAGCCAGATGCCAACTATTGGAGCCAGTAGATATAGGAGAGGGCAAATAAGACGGTGAAGAGATGGATGACAATTCTGATATATCGGAGCATGAAGATGATAGCGATGATGGTAGAAACTTGGACTTTTAATTCTGAGTCGGCAAATAGAAAATGTTGACAGACTTGGAGTCTCGGACTACTGGGCTGTTATAAAAGGACTGTGTCACTTTGATTATCTTGAAGAAAAGCTTGAACCGTATAATGGGTTATAAAAACACAAATGGAACACATGGTATGGTTATTGATTAACGGGCCAAATATGCTAAAAAGGGGGTTTGAGAACAAAACAGTCTCGAACAAGAATTCAAATTTGGTGAAGACGGGAATTTGGGCTAATCTGTCACATATGAAAATGGCGTACAAGTATGTAGGTCAATGAGGCCTTTTAAGCACCGCATAAGTTTGAAACCAAAGTTCTAACTTTACTAACTGTCATTTGGGGGCAAAAATGGCAAATATCTCAAAGACGATGGGAGTCATTGGAACTGTCTTTTTATCTAAGATAAGACTGTTGTAACATTTAACTTATTTAGAATTCTGTTTCTTTTTTTACCAAATTTGGGGGAAATGGCAATATTTTAATGTCGTACATAGGGTCACTAAGAGTGCTCTCTTAAGAATCAGCGCCACTTTTTACATAAGAAAAGCTGTTCAGACCTTGGCCACCAAATATTCTGATTATTACCGATCTATCTCCTGGAGGGCTTCCAGTTCTGAGCAAGATGAAATGCAATCGGGTTCGAAAGTATTGTGTGCTGGGGGTAGCAGATAGGTAGCCTAAATAATTTGCCTAATTAACCCAGCTAGTACTTGGCTGGGCTGTGGTGAGGGCAGGGCTAGGGGGTCATTAAACAGTTATATGGGCCCTATAAATCTTCGGTTTGTATGTACTGATTAACGCGTAGCATCAGTTCAATGCCCATTGTCACTGAATGTGCACATCTTTTCATTTGCTACTCTTTGTGGCTATAAATTGAGAAATAGTCAAAATACTAGATAAGTAATGTTCCAGATGCCAGAATAACATGCAAAATAGAGAGCCTCTTGTACATTTCGAGAGAGTCCAACTGTGCTAGATTTAATTAGTAATATCCCCCCCCCAACCCTGGATTCGCCCCCAAAGCTTTTTTTCCCTACAACAAAATGACCCCAGATTGACCACAAAGTAGAAGGTATGAGTAGGCCTAAAACTGGGGAAATTTTGTTCAGTTTTGATGAGGGAAGGAACGAAATAAGTACCTTCAGGATGCACAAGGCATGCACATAAGCAATATGCTTTCCCATTTAAAACTGTGGAAAACGCCATAGCTACACCCTCCAAGGGGCAACATTTTTCCTTTTTTTCTCAAAATAATGACTTTGGAGATATTCGGCTTCTCCTAAAAGCTCTTGTGTCAAAATGTGAGAGTTGCCACTCTTAAAGGGTGCACCTGTAATAGGCTACGATTATGTCCGCGAAGCTCATTGATAAAGACATTCTATCTTAAAGGGACATGGGAACCAGTGACGTAACTGCGGGAGGGGCGTGCCCCCAGCGAATGCCCGTGCCCCCGGAGCCCCCTCCCCCATTTGAAATCCATGCAGCTGTTGGCCGCTACAGCTCATTGTCTTTTGGTGCCCTCTAGTCTTGTGCCCTAGACATAATAGCTCTAGTTACGCTACTAGTACGTAGAACCTGAGAACCACGGAATTGGGAAATGGAAGAAATATGGCGCTGAACCTCTTGCCTGGAATTAGGGATTCCGATTCTGAACAAATTGAATGCAGTCAGGTCCGAAAGTGGCACTATTTTTCAAAGGACTACTTCCCCTGTTAGAGAAATTATATCCTTCGTTTTTAGGGTCGTCTGCTTTGGGTGAGAATTTCACAAAAAGCCATTGATCAACCAACCAAAATTTGAAAGGAGAATGAAAGGCGACTTGTTGATCTTCATTTTTCTGTGCAGCCTGAACACCTGTGAAAGTTGTATTACAGAATTTTGAAAATTTATCCCTGCTGTCTATGGGAATTTTTTTGTGGGGTGCACCCCTGAGATTTTATCAAGAGTGGTCAGGCAAAAATTTGTCTGCAGTAAATTGTCAATGGGAGAACAATTTAACCTATGAAACGGCATTTTCCCCGCCATAATTATGTATGATGAGTGCATCAGGCTCCAACTTTGGGTGCCTTAATTCACTTACACAGTGGAGGGCAACGAACCAACGATCAGCACTTTTTTTTCCATTTTTTTGTTTACCCAGCCAAGGAACTTTCACTGACTTTGATGTATTATCGGTATGTAAAATCGTGAGTTTTTAGGTTGCTAATAAAGCAAGATAATCTTACAACGATGTAATCGTATGTAAATGATCTCAAGGTTGTCATGTTATATCACGCAGAAAGCAATATCCAAGTTGGTTTGGGTCCGAGTTGACCCGATCCCATCGCGGACATGTCTTTGTGATCCCTTTAGCCCTTACGGCGCCTAACACCTGACATGTCTCTGTCTGATGTGAAGAAATAAAGAGCGTCATCTAGGATCGGTGCGTAATTCGTTATTTCGAATTATGATAGTCATTTTGAATTAATAATTCGTTATTCGTTATTTCGAATTAATAATTGGTTTAAACGAACTATAGTAATGTCAGGAAATGGAAAATGTATATTTCTTGTAGGTTATCTTGCTTTTCTTATTCTGCTCCCCTTTTTCCAAGGATATTTTCCAACCTTTTGCAATCCAAATGGAACCATTTGTGGTATGCCATGATGGAGGTCATATTGTTTTACCCCACTTGCGTATCCAATCCATTGTTTTAGGGGAACTTTCCCACAGTCCTGACCAAGAATTTTTAGAAAACGAATGCCAGTTTTCATTGTTTGGGAGATTAATCAAACTGGAGGTTGCAGGTTGTTGGAACCTGGGAGAAAATCTGCTGATCCTGCTGATTAGCAGAGTTACACAATGAACCTTCAAGACCAATGGAGAAGTTTATATGCAAATCAGACTTCGAGGAAGGTTTGGTAAAACTTGTGAGCGACCAATCATATTCTTGATGGAAATTTCTATCAAGAGACCCCAAAGGGCATTTGAGGGCCTATGCC